TAAACTCATGTATTTAACATGAGTTCACGGCCAGAACAAGAGTTTACGGTCCAAACATGAAGGTTTGGTCATAAACTCCTCATTATGGGTTTAAAGTTTGATTAATGTACAATGGACTCAAGCAGATACTTCCTAACACCCGATTCTTGAATATACTAGGCTTAAAACACTCAAGCAAACTCTAAACAGTGCTAAAAGATAGCAGAAACAAGTCTAAATTTGATTGAATTGGTTGAATATACAAGATAGAAATTTCGGGTTGTCACAATATCTTAGAAAACTCACTAAGCTTTGTGCTTACGGTTTCAGGTAGTTTCGGTTCGAAAGAGAAGGGCCCGACCTGACTGCACATCATCGCCCATAGTTTTCCACATTGTCAATTAACGATATTGCTTTGATGTTTAAATAATATATTCACTTTGATCGGTTTTGGAACAACTCATTTGTATGATATATTATTTTGAAAATGAAAATTTTACTATGAATTTTAGGGACGTTATAATAGACTTACATTCGTGTTAGCTACTTTAAAGCTCTATATGCTCTTTTCGTAGTAATTAAGATTACATAAACTACTAATTCATCTAGTAATGGTATTACAGTCACCAATACTACTATCACTCTTCCACAACAATCTATCAAATCTAGCGTTATGGACATTAAGTTTACTATTGATTTGCATTTCTCCACTGATGATATCATAGCCACCAATGTTACCATCATAAATTAATATCTCTAATCATTTTTATATTTATGCTACTCTAGAACTTCTAGATACCCATTATCAGTTCATATTTCTATACAAGTATGGCATTCATACACTAAGTCCACTATTAACTTGCATTAACTAATATCATTTTACAATTATAATGTTCAGACACTAAATTTGCCAGTGACATGTAATTCTCCAATACCAAAGTACAAGTATAACCTTACGGGTTCCAATCCTACACATTACAATACACAATAATTATACTAATGTATTTAACACTTAATCAATGCAATATAATAATAGCATACATCTAGACAATATATATATATATATATATATATATATATATATATATATATATATATATAGAGAGAGAGAGAGAGAGAGAGAGATGGAGAAAAGAAGTGAGGTTACTCACCCGGTTAGTTAGTGAAGACTAACTATGGTTCCAAACTCAAGTTATTTCCATCGCTTGTCCAGACCTATTTGGACAATATAGATCAAGTTCATTAGAACATGTTGACTTACCGCTATATCAACCACAACGATCAATTACCTGTCCACTAACTAAACCCGGTAACCATTTGTTACCGAATTAATCAAGTTTCTAATTATAATTACCTTACGACTTAACCCGGTAATCCGTTGGCCCAGTCGAAAAATCTCGATAAACTAGTGTATATCACTTGTACTGCTCAAATTAAATATTTAGCTGATCACCGGGTTCGTAATAGCACAATATCATGAAATCTCGTACCACCTACTTGGGTCTAACAACTCTCTACAAAAATATTACATAAACATATTTACATAAAAACGAGATAAAAGATATCTCTACAAATTCTGTAATTCAACCCTCGTACCCCCGTACACCCAATACAATTTTGTGGTAACAACTATTGAGAAACACATCCTGAGCGTTTGCCCCAATCTTATGCGCAAAAATCCTTTAAACGACACAAATGGGGAGTATTTATACTTCAGACGCATCGAGCCATAGTGTCAAGGACTTCTCTGGATTTGCCACATTTTCATCCTCTCTACCCATGTATCTAGGTGACTCGGTTCACACATCATTGTGGTGACGCACCAAAGATTGTCTGACTTTGACATTCGTTAACTTTCTCGAAATAGCAACATACTTTGAACCTAACTTCAAACGGTAGAACTTTGTTTTCATTGATCTTTATATCCACATAATCGTCAGAGTAATCTATCACTTTTTTTACTAGCCTCTGTCCATTCTTACATAATAACACTTGTTATAAAAACGAGCATTAAATAGCAGTTAACAGACAAAATTTGACGGAGTGAGCAAAAATGATTTTTTGTTAAAAGTTTTGAAACTACAAGGACCATCTGGAAGGTTTTTTGAACTTAGTGCCTATATCGTATATTTCTAGAAAGCACAAAGACCATTTATGAAGTTTTGTCTTCCAAAAATAAACATAGTTTTTATATAGACAAAGTTTTAGAATCCATCCTTGCTATTTTAAAAGTGAGAAGTTGAGGATAATTAAAAAAACACTTTAAATATGCATTTTGTGGTTTCAAAAAATGACTTGATTGGTCCTTTTAACATTATGTATAATTGTGGTCCTTATCTCCCCCTCCCCCAATTGCACCTCACTTGAGGGCAATTTTGTCTTTTTGGACACAATTGTTTGATATAGCTACAAGTATAACCAAATTCGAATTAAGGTTGCGACTTTGTGTTTTTTTTTTTGCTCGTCATTTAGTTAAAGAAATTCATTACCAAAAAGGAACCACACATCCAGGACTCATGGTAAAGTGCAACAAAAATGAAAAACAAAAACAAATAAATTTTCTTAAAATGCCATTATCGTATCCGAGTCACTTCATAAATACATAACGGATCCGTTAAGTAAAATTGTAAATAAAGACATGAAAGAATGAATAATTGATAGAGATTATACGAAACTTGATCAATAGTTTTATGGTTAGTGTTTTTAGAAAGCACAAAAGTTTAGGATAAACTTGATTGGACTGTGGCGAATATTGTTACCGACAGTAACCAAAATATCGTCGAAGGTGATGGAGTAGAATTTAGAAGGTTGTGGGGTTATTTAGAGAATAAATTAAAGATTTAATCGCTTGGCTATGATTGTAAGTAACTTGACGATAATTGGAATTTGATTTGAGACTTCAGTTGATTAGCGATAACTAAAGAAGTCATGGTTATACATCACAACCCCCAGTTCACTTCATAGGTATTAAGAGTTTTCATAAACGGTTGGATAGTAGAGAATAGGTTTAACATAATTCAAACGGAATGTTAAAAAAAATATCAATCATGCCATTTTTTGAAACCACAATTGCAGATTTGAAGTGTTTTTGAAATATATCGTCAACTTGCTAGTTTTTGAAAAATACAAGGACCAATTCTGAAATTTCGAATGTAATCGATTTTAGAATAAAAATATAGTAGAAAATAGTAGAAGTTGTAAAACCTCTATCGATTTTAGAAGGGAAGTAAAGAGTAAAGACAGAAAAAAGATTCGTCCTGTAAATGATGTTGTCTTGGTCGAGTGTGACGTAAATGTAGTCAAACGACCTTTTTTACAACTCTATGTTCCTTTGTACTTGCCCCATGTCTCTCTTTCAACTTTGACCAAATCCAAATTCTACCCATGTGCTTTTGCATCTTAAAAGATAAAATGCACACAATAATAACTACTATTCTCTATGATATCTAGGGGTATTTTTCCTTTCGGGTCTATTTGTTTTATATATATATATATATATATATATATATATATATATATATATTAAAATTAAACTAAATAATATTCGGTTTATTCAGTTACGATTTATTTAGTTTGATTAATGGACTAAACCGAATAAAATTTTACACATAAAAACAAATATTAAATTAATATGAAAAACTTATTAAACCGTTACTAAACAAAGAAAATACACTAATATACAACATATTATATTCAATCTTTTATAGCGTGATATATATAATCACACAAAATTTTAGCAAAAGGGTATTTTGGACAATTAACTATAATTATAAAAGGAAAATTCTCGGATATTTATGGATAATTAATTCTCCTAATTTTAAAAATATGATTTTTTTTTAATTAATTCAATTTTAATTCTAACATATTTTGTAAAAATAACCGATTTATTCTGTCAGAATATTTTTTTAGTTAGAATGATGTTTTATCAAAATTTTATTATATTACACAAAGTTCTGGAATTCGAGGTTGAAAAATAACTACATTATAACATATTCTATCAGAATAACATAATACCAATCATAAACTACTAAATACATTTTGAAAACAATACACAAAATAGATTCTTGAACTAATAATATACCAAATAATTAATTGTGATTCTTTGAATAATAATAACATTCTGAAAGAATAACAAGTGTAATTCTTAAAAAATAACAACATTCTTAAACTTTAAGTGTGATGATTCTTTAATTCATTCTCCAAACCTTTCCCATTAGTTCTTCAAGCCATTTCTATCACAAATTTTGTTAGAATGCAACAGTAAAATTCTGTTAGAATACATTATCAACATATAAATATTAAAATTTTATCAAAATAAAACAGTAAAATTCTAGCAGAATTTATTATCAACATATAAATAATTAACCAAAACCATAATCGGAAGACATGAATAAAAAAAAATTAACAGATTTTTATCCTCTCAATTTATTAACAATCAAATGAATAAAAAAATCAATAGATTTGATACTTCCATGTTCATGCAAAACAATTTATAATACAACTGAAACAAAGTTGATTCAAGAGTTTTGTTAAACACCTTACTTACAACAAAAACCTTTATGAAGAAACCATTTATATTTGCCAAAAAATAGTTGAACTTATATAAAAAGATTGAATAGAAAATCCAGAAACCTGATTTAAACATTTTATCGAGTAGTTGGTATGCAGCATGAAACTTTCTTTAAATTCTTAATAATGACAACTTATCCCTTGGCCAATCTTGAAACCTGTGAAAAACATGAAAAACAAAAATCTTGTCTCTTAGGATTTTTAACAAACAGTTGGTAGACACTAAATAAATAATTGGTTGCTCAATGTCTTTTTCAAATTCAAGCACAAAGGGAGCTCAAACCTTCTATCACTCCATCCTCCTTAATGGGATTGCGAATGACATGATTAACCATTGGAGAACCAGCGATATCAGCCATAACCACTTTAGAAGAAATCTTCGATCCCATCACAGCACCCTCAGAACCATTCGACAATCCCAAACCCTTATTCTTAATAGAAATCGCATCACATCTAGCATCCAAAAGGGAATCCACCAAATTCACTCTAGACCTAGGGCCTTCAGATTTACTCACGTCACTCGATCCTTTTATCACATAAGATTTCACTTCTAATTCAAACTTATTGACAAGAACAGTGACTGATTTAGCTTTCAGAGGACCAGACGGTAACTTAGAAGCCTCACTAGAATCGATTTTCAGCTTGTTTCTCGGGTTCACATTTTTCCCCTTTCTTTTTTCATAATAACATCAGGTTCCAAATCAGGAGGAACCCCCTCCATGAGAACAACACCAACGTTATCCACGGAATAAGGAAGAAGAGACTAACAGATTAAGACCAACCACGATGCCTTCTCGATCGCCTGATGCCTTCTCGATATGATGAAGTAGGAGGACGAAGAAATCGGGTCTCTCATGTACATGCCAATCGATAAAAGAAAAGAGCAGGGATTAGGGTTAGTGAGATGAACAACGATTTAAAAAGGATCGGTGATACTCATTTAATGATTTTTTAAATAAACCATATATATTTTTGGTTTATAAAGGTAAAATGACTAAATCACCCTTTATTATTAATTAATGATTTCTTTTTCCTAAATTCTGATTGGAGCATTTAATGATTCTCTCTCTCTCTCTCTCTCTCTCTCCCTCTCCCCCCCCTCTCTCTCTCTCTCTCTCTCTATATATATATATATATATATATATATATATATATATAAGACAAAATTACAAAAATGGTCCCTGTGGTTTGTGAAAACTCACAAAGTCAGTCACTGCTAATTTTTTTTTGATGCAAACGGTCCTTATGGTTTGACAAACTTGTGCGGATGGCCCTTTTTGCTAACGTCGTTAGTATTAAGCCATTAGGGACTAAATTTGTAATGGTATTTTCGTCTTTTCAAGTACAAAGAGACTGAATTCGTGATATTTGGTAAACTACAGGGACCATTTTTGTAATTCGTTTAAAAATAAATTAAATGACGGGAGGAGGATTCAAACTTAGGACCTCCTCCCCTTATTTCGAATCAACCTAAGCCTTATACCACTAAGCTACACCCTAACTTGGTTCATAATTTCAAAAGCTAGCTTATATTACTTAAAATCGTAATTATATTAACAATAAGATATAAATAAAATATATATATATATATATATATATATATATATATATATATATATATATATATATAAAATAAAACAAAATATATTTTAGTGTATTGTAAAAAAAATAATTTTTAGAAACAATTTTTTTTAACTATTTATTATACGTAAAATATATTTTTTAATTTATTTTAAAAAATACATTTTTGCATAATATGTTATTGTACATTTCTGTGATCCTAAAACATATTTTTTCATATAAATTTTTTTTTACTTTCACATAGAAAAACAATTTTTTTACCTAGTTTTTTTATGGAAAATATGTTTTTTATATATTAAAAAATACGTTTTCGTACAAAATGTTATTACATTGTTATAATCCGAAATATATTTTTAAATATATAAAAAAACGTAATAACATATTATACAAAAACGTAATCCTAAAAAAAGCGTAACTTTTTTTTGTATATATTTATTTTATGTGAAGTATGTTTTTATGTATTTATAAAATACATTTTCGTATAATACGTTATTACGTTGTTAAAATCCTAAAATATACTTTTACGTTATCTTAACATCTTTAGTTGATTTAAAGCGAATATTCAAGTATTTTTTTACGTTATGTTTTCATGTTCTTAATGTTTTTACGTAAAAAAATACTTGTAGTTTTGTTTTAAACCAATTAAAGACATTAACATAACGTAAAAGTATATTATAAGATTATAATAGAAAATAACGTATTATACAAAAAATATATTTTTTAAATGCATAAAAAAATTATTTTACGTAAAATAAATACGTAAAATAACATATAAACTAATTGTAAAAATTCATTTTTTTTCTTCAATACGTAAAAGTACAATTTGTTTTATTAAAAAAAATTATGTAAAATAAATTGTAATATAATTTTTGAAAAAACATCATAACTGGTCTCTGTGTTTTCCCAGATTCTGAAGTTTAGTCCCCGTAGTTTAAAAATCTCATAGTTGGTCCCTATGATTTCAAAACTTTTGACAGGTGGTCCTTATCCCTCACACCGTTAGAATCCCACCGTTAACCCTTATTTCATTAAAATAATATAAGGGTAAATCGGTCTTTTCACCTGTGCCCTCTTCTTTATAACCAAATGCATGTCTATATTGGTCTAACCCTTCTCGCACCCACCGTCTTCTACTCTCACTCTACTGCTCACTCTACTGTGCATCGAATTCCAAAACGATTTCTGCGAGTGTCGAAGATGGCGATTTGTAGATGTGGAATGGAAACAACGAAGTTGACCTCATGGACGGATCGTAACCCAGGAAGGTAATTTTTGAATTGTTCAAGATGTGGGTTCGTAAGGTGGGTTGACCCTCCGATGTGTGCAAGGGCATTGGTGGTGATTCCAGGTTTAATAAGATCAATGAATCGATTAGAAGAGAGGGTTGCAATTGCAAGTGCAGAACTGTGGAACTACCGGCTTATGTTGTTCTGTTCATGGATGATTTTTTTTGGTTTTATTTTAACTAGTAAGGATTTGGATGGTAATATGATGGGGGTTTTTGGTTTCTTTGTACGCATCTAACTAGTTCAGGGGGTTTTGGATATTGATGGAATGGGTATTTTTGGTTTCATTTGGTTGTATGAAGTGTAACACATTAAGTTAACAGAAATGATGATTATGTATTTTGTTATAAATCTGTGGTTTTGATGTTTATTTTCGTATGATGCATTGTTATAACTGCATCTTGCAAATGGTTAAGAATGGTATTTCAAATCTACATTGTTATACATGCATCTTCTTGAGAAAGGTTTGGAGAGGGTAATTCATAAGCAAAATGTTGATAAAATCATTACAAAATGTTGATAAAATCATTACAAGTCTGTGTTTAACCCATACAAACATGAGACTTACTTTCAACATACTTAATGATGGAATGTCTTAACCCATACAAACATTACAAAAGACCTAATTACCATAATTTAAACAACCAAACCATAATTTATGTTTCAAAAGACCTAACTACCCAAACATCCAACTAACTACTTAACATATTTCCTAAATTACCCTTTCCCTTTCCTTGTGTCTTACCCTTTGCCTGTGTCTTCCCTTTTCCCTGTGTCTTCCCCTTTGATCCAACTTCACTAATGCCTCCCTGCCCTTTACATGTTCTTGAATTGTGCCCCTTGTTATGACACTTTGAACAAGTGACTGCAATAAATTTCCTGCTCAATTTAGTGGTTTGGCTGTTGGGCTCATCAACACCTCTCATTCTCTTGTTTTTTGGCCTCCCAACCTACACATATGCATTTATTATATTTAAAACATTAACATACATGCTGGCATTAAAAGTACATATCTAGCCTAGTTGACATAACAACCTGTGTGTGATGTTTTGGTGGAGTTAAAGTGAATGAACAATCACTTTTTGGCCACATTGAACGACCATTTATTGGATCAATTTTGTTCAGATACATGGCTCTCCATGTTGATAACTTATAGCAAGGATGGACCCAATCCTCAACATCAGGGGCATCTTCTCCATTTTCAATTTTGTTCCATATAGTAGAAACAACATGCCTACATGGAAAACCTGTAATCTCCCAGAACCTACAAGTGCAACTTCTTTCATTTAGGTTCACCACATACTGATCCTGCCATGTGCTTGCAACTTGGTACTTTCCTGCCCCATTATACTTAGCTACATACTTTGCTGCTTGAGTCTTAATCTCCTCTAAAATTATAGTTGCAGTAGTACTTAGTTCCCCTTGACACTTATCTATTTCCTTTTGCACAACACACAATCTCTTCATGAGATACTCTCTAATATACTCTAAGCAGGTGATGATTGGTTTATCCCTACCCTCCTCTATCTTAGCATTGAATACCTCACAAAGATTATTCAACAAACAATCAGTGTGTGCCCTACCTATGAAAACCATATTCAAAAAGAGAAATTACAAATTTTATATTAAAACATAAAACTCAACAACTTCTAAATGACATACCACTGAAGTGAGATTTAGACCATGTCTCTGCAAGAATCTTACACAACCAAGCATGAGCTTCATCATTCATTTTCTTCAACTGATCCATTGCATATTTAAAGTGATTTACTGTTGTTGCTCTACCACATTCCCAAACCAAGTCACTCAACTCTTTTCCTTTCCATTGTTTCTTCAAATTCTCCTGAATATGCCTCAAACAAAACCTATGTTCTGCATTGGGAAATACCTTTGCAACTGCTGGTATTATCCCCTTAAGAAATGCAAATTCAGTCAGTTTCATTTATAAAATTAGAAAATAAGCTACACTATCATGAGAAATAATTAGGTATAACATACCTTTTGTCTATCAAATATGAAGGTAAAATTTGAATTTGCTCCCAATTCTAAGTCTTCTCCTAACAGTTCCATGAACCAGGTCCAAGAACTAGTTGTCTCAGCCTCTACCACTGCATATGCTACCGGGTATATTACATTATTTGAGTCTCGACCCACAACAGTTAGTACCTGCCCAGGATATGGGCCTTTCAAGAATGTACCATCAACTCCCAGGAAATCCCTTAACCCAACTTTGAATCCCAACTTCAATGCACCTAGACATACATATATTCTTCTAAAAGTTCTTGTAGTAGTCAACAATGATGGTTCAGGATACACATCTATCCTAACAGTTGAACCAGGATTTGTGTTTAGCAGTTCCAAAGCATAATCCCTCATATACCCATATTGAAGTTGGTAGTCCCCACTAATCACACGTTCAGCCATTTGCTTTGCCCTACCAACCTTTTGAACTGACATACCAAGCTCCAACTTCTTACACAACTCCTCGTGTAAAGCTTTGATTGGAATTTTAGGGTTACTTTGAATTTGTGGAACAATTAAGTTTGCTAAATATTTGGAAGTACAAGCTTTAACTGATCTTGTCTGCAAACATTTATGGACTTCATGTACTGTTTTCACCAACCAATCTGTATTCTCATCTGGCCTCGAGATTTGGACTGCCCAAGGACATTTTCCGTTTTTACTAATCACATTTTTGCCCTTGCACTTTACCTTACTTCTAGTTGATGGCCCACCACATTGAACTATTTCAGTAGATTGTCCGTTTCACTTTACCTTACTTCTTGTTGATGGCCTACCACATTGAACTGTTTCAGTAGATTGGCCCACAACACCTCCACATTTGACCTTAATCCTGATTTTATCATTTTTTGCTAAGTATAGGGACCTCCTTGTATTTACAGCATGTGCTTGCATGTAGTCCACAACTTCCTTCTTTGTTTTGCAACACTGCGCCACCCTATATGGTTTTAAATGGATCTCCCCATGTGAGCATGGAGTTGACCTACTCAACTCCTTAAGCATTTTTGTCCTTTCATCTTCATTAAATCCTGCATACTGATAATCATCACTTTGAATAACTTTCAACTCTTCATCAACTATGTCATTACCTATACTTTCAGTTTGCTTGTTTAAAATTCCATGTTCATCTACATCCACATGACTTTGGAATTCACTCATGTCTACATCCACATCAAATTGCATGTTAGACTCATGTACAATGTAGTCACTATCATCATAATCATCTGCACTATAATCAAAACCATCTTCATTCTCACTATAGAAAGCATCTCCACTATCATCACTTACCATGCCCTCGAGAATTTCCATTTCTACTTGATTGTCTTCACCATTCGGTACACTGTACTCAACATCAAATTCAACATAAGTTGAATAATCATCTGTAAATGCTTCAAATTCATCGAGTCTTACACTTTGTTGTCCATCAATATCTTCAGAAATTGGTTCCTCTGCAAGATTGCCTAAATTGCTCTTACACACTTCTTCTATGTGGCCCATGATCAATCCTTCATTCACATCAATGACATTACTTCGTTGGCTAACTTGAGACATAACATATGGAACAATAGTCTTTGAATGATCCTGACTTTCATCCATATCTATTACATGTGACTGGTCAACAACATGGTTGGCAGGGGGGTCTAACTCAAGCTTTTTACTACACGATCCTACTTCTCTTCTACAAGGTTTTTTTTCTATTAAGTTCCGGTGACACACTCTCAGGTTCCAGTTCCTCGATAACAACTTTGGAAGGAGACTTAAAATAACTAGCTACCCTAGTCTGACCAATTTCAATATAGAACTTTACAAGTCTGTGCTTAGGGACATACGAAACCAATTTAAGAACATCTTGGTCATTCCCTAAAGGCAATAACCCGTAGTCTAAGGGAAATTCAGGGATACAGAAATGGTAGTAAAGAGTTTGTTCACCTTTGTACCCTAATTCTCGAACCATGTCATCGAGTTCATGGACTGAAAATAAATCAGTGTCAACGTCAGCTACGTATGATACACTACCATCGACGTATTTCCTTCCAGGTGACTTGGTGAAGACACCACTGTAGTGTATCTTCAACATGAAATAGTTATCATATCCCTCTACAAACACAAAAATAGAAAGGATAAAGAAGATGATTTATCTTCACAAATACATTCAAGGAAAACAAAAACTTCAGTTTTTTTTTTTTTTTTTTTTTTATAATGAAAAATCTTACCGTCTCTCGATTGCAAGTCCTTCAAGCACGCATTTTTTTCACGCAAACACCATATTGACAGAACCATTGTCCTTTGGTGCTGTGTAAACCCTAAACCCCAATTTCGATTCGAGGATAAGAGTGATCTGTTGAAGACGAAGTCATTGTGCTCTTGGGAGATGAAGAGTGTTTGGGAGTTGACGTGAAGAAGACAGTGGCATAATCATTTCCCTCAATAAAGAAGAGGGCACAGGTGAAAAGACCGATTTACCCTTATATTATTTTAATGAAATAAGGGTTAACGGTGGGATTCTAACGGTGTGAGGGATAAGGACCACCTGTCAAAAGTTTTGAAAGCATAGGGACCAACTATGAGATTTTTAAACTACGGGGACTAAACTTCAGAATCTGGGAAAACACAGGGACCATTTATGATGTTTTTTCTTAATTTTTTTATCTTTTTTTTTCGATTTTACGTAATATCATTTATTTTTCGGAACCACAAATCAAGTTTGGATGTAGCTTAGTGGTATAAGGCTTAGGTTGATTTGGGAGAGGCGGAGGAGGTCCCAAGTTCGAATCCTCCTCCCCATATTTAAATTCTTTTTAGTCCCTTTGTAGTTGAAAAGACGAAAATGCACTTACAAATTCAGTCCCTAACGGCTGAATACTAACGACGTTAGCAAATTTAAATTCTTTTTAGACGAATTACAAAAATGGTCCTTATGGTTTACCAAATATCACGAATTCAGTCCCTTTGTACTTGAAAAGACGAAAATGCACTTACAAATTCAGTCCCTAACGGCTGAATACTAACGGCGTTAGCAAAAAGGGCTATCCGTGCAAGTTTTTTAAACCACAAGGACCATTTGCATAAAAAAAATTAGCAGGGACTGATTTTGTGAGTTTTCACAAACCACAGGGACCATTTTTGTAATTTAATCTATATATAAGCTTATTTGATTTTTTCAATTTAATCAAAACAATTAAAATTTAACTAAAACTAAACCAACTAAAATCTCTTTATTCGGTTAATCAAACCGAATTAATCGAAAATCGAGTAACCCGAACCAAATAAATAAAACATTATTTGGTTCGGTTTGGTTATCCGATTTTGGTTTTTTGTCACACCCTTATACTATAAGTATATTTCACTCACATAAATTATCCAATTATAATGATACATAAACACAATTATACTCACAAAAAGGTACATAAAGCAATTTGATAGGTACATATAAATTCTCATTCTCTAATTATTAATCGGTAATTATTGTTTAAGAAATCATCAAAACAACCTTCCAACTTTATTAAAAGTGGCCTCTATTTTTCATCCTATGAATTATTTAAAATATGGTTACTAAAAATGCCTCTATTTTTCGTCCCATGGACTATTTAAAATATGGTTACTAAAAGTGGCTTCTATTTTTTGTCTCATGCATTATTTAAAATATCATTACTAAAAGTGGCTTCCATTTTTAGTCCCAACTCCCATAGATTATTTAAAATATCATTACTAAAAGTGACCATGGTTATGAAATACAAATAATGGTATCCAATTTATTTTATTTTCTTTGAGATTGTTTTTATTTATTTTTTTCGAACTTATGTGACCAAATTATAAGTTATGATGAAATTGATTGTTATTTTATGCTAAATTGAAGAAACATCAATATATTTTTATTTGTTTGAACAATATATATTACTTTTAGTTCTAATATAATATGATATATTTATCTATTGTTAAAATGTTATTTTAAAATTTGCATTAGAATTGTAACATTATATTTTCTTAGAATTTGGGTCTAAAAATATCACAAATATCATATTAAATGTATATATTTTCTAAAATCTGTTATTTTAACAATATTGTCTGGGTATAAGAAATCCGATTTTGAATAATCCAAAAACAATCAATTTGGAATTCAGACTTTTTTCCAAATCCAAAACAATGAATATAACTGTTGTTTTGCGTTTTTTTAAAAAAAAATAGAAGGTTGCAAAGAAGAATAGTTTTTCGGTTATGAAGGTTCTAACATTTTGCATGCAACATCCATCTTCCTTTTATACATGTAATCGATTAAGGATGGTTAATAGAAGATACAATACATCATCTGATATCATCAATAGGTTTTTGGTGGGAAATATGTGTTTGGACCATTTTCTGTTATAAAAAATCGTTTAGGTTTCGGGGAACTACTCCGTGAAACCCTATACTTAGGGAACTGCCTCTAGACCCTCGTATTCTCGAGTCCACATTTTTTCTTCCAAACGTGCACCACGCACCTCTAGTGTTGGATAATAAATTAAACACAGTTTGTCTTGATAGTAATAATAATTAATAAAATACATAGATAACACTAAAATCAACATATTTTTAACATATTTAATAATATTATATATTGAAAAATCTATTATGTGTGGTTTTCTTTATTAAGGGTACGTACATAAATTTATCACTTTTTAGACTTCCTTCTTTCTTATTCATATCAGGTTCTGATTTCTTGAGAGATATGATATCAATTTAATTATTCTTTCTTCATTTTCAATCAAAATTCGTTAATCTTTATATTGTTTAAAGCGGATATATCATAATTCATTATCAAGATTATTTCTTTATATAATTTGTTAGCAATTACACGTATTCGTTGAATTTGTATTGTTTTATGCATTTATCGTGAAGTTTTACATCTATATTGCAATTGTTTCATCGGATATTTGTTGTGAAGTTTGAGATTCATATTGCAATTGCATCATCTGATCGGAACTGATTTAATGTTCAAGTAGATCGTTTGTACGCTCTGAAGTGAGACAAATTCGAAAGTGATCAAGTTTTCATATGATCTCTATGACAATTGCATCATTTGATCGGAGCTGATTTAATTTTCAAGTAAACTGTGTGTACGCCCTAAAGTATGATTCGAAATTGATCAGATTTTAATATTTACAATTTTTTTGGTGTGTTTTTTGTTTTAATTTTTTTTCGTTCGGTTTCTATTTTATTTTATCATATTTTCATCGATATTAAGATTGTTTTTGTTGTTTATTACAGTTTAATTGGTTTATTATGTCAAATTTAAGTGTTATTGATAGTGATTTGTATTATTCGATGTGTGAGATGTGTAAGAGTGAATAAGATGTTGAGAACTTATTTATTGAAGGTATCAATAGTTGAATTCTTATGTTTTTTTTTATTTTGGTGATGATCATGTATTTACATTTGAATTTGTAAATCTGAATAAATTATCGTCTTATTCATATATAAATAAAAATGTGATAATTATAATTTCCAATTTATTATTATTTTCGTTTTATTCATATATGCATAAGTATTGTTTTTATTTTATACTTTTTGAATCATATGAATTTCATGTATTCACATATGATTGTTTTATTCATGCATTAATAAATATTGTTTTTTGGTTTATTCATATGTGAATAAAGAGTGCCTTTGTGTGTATTATTGATTATAATAATGTGTCACTAGATTGATTTATATTTTATAATTTTTTATCAGGTGAATCTTCGATTTCAATAGAAGATTGTAGTAATATAATTGAAGAACATGTCTATAAGCCAAATGTACCTGTTCAACTTATTCCATTTGAAGGTTTAATCTTCAAATCATTAAAGTTTACCATCAAAATGTATTCTGAGGATGCTGAAATTGGTGGTTTTGATGTGAGACTGAGCATACAGACAAGGTTTGGTAACAAGATTATAAAGAAGAAACATGTTATATGTAATCGTTGTGGCAAATAGAGAAAGAAATCTTGTGACATATTGGGTACAAGTGGTGTTAGGAGGAAACAAAATTCAAATTCAAGAGTTATTGTTTGTCAAGCAAAGATTATATTTGAATATGTGTATGGAATTCGAGATTGTAAAGTTTTTCATTTTGATGAACTTCACAACCATCCACTTGAGAAGATAAGTGATTTTGAAAAAAAGAGCGAGACAAATGTCGTATTCAGAAACAGATTTTATAGTGCATGCTTCCATATCAAAAATAGGTCCAACTATGGCTCATAAGTTGAGGGAAAGTTTGAGAGGTGGGTATGAGTTTGTAAAGCCCAAAGTAGTTGACTATAAAAATTTAAGGAGAGATATCAACATGGTTATAGGTTATAAAGAGGCCCATTTGATAGTATATATGGGTCATCGACTAGATTAGATGACAACACTTGACTATTCTAGAAGGTCTAGTGAATTATGTTGCTAGTGTGGACTTATAACCCACAAATGTAGATAAAATGTGATACCATATTTATCAAAGACTTTATACATTGGTTGCCTTTAAATGCA